GAAGTTTTTTTCAAGTCGGCCGGGGAATACCGCAGTGCGGATTGAACATGCATTGGTTATGGATGTGAGCACGAGGACATAAATATCAGTCTACATATTTTAATAGAATTAATAAATAGTTGCCCACAATTTGGACTGGAGACCAAACCACGTCTATTGGGTATGGTATCCCCTATCTTTCTGCTTTCCATTCCAGAGGGCATGATTTCAAAAAAAATGCGTATCCAAAAAAACACGGGCGAGGTCGTGATAATTTGTGGAATTCGCACAACTTGAAGTAAATATTCTATAGTTTTACTTACACCTGTGGCCGGCAGCGTGACAATTATTGCTTAAAGAACACAGTGGCTGGAAAGCTGATTTCATCGGTGGCGTTTAAATAGAGTCCCAATATCTGGCACAAAATGGTTATAGCTCCAAAGTTGGCTCCGTCACGTGAACCATCTCACATCTGCCGTCTTATTAGTACAGCTAGGTCATTTTATAGCATGTTGAATTAAGGAAAAGAAAATTCGCTTGAAACTCACATTTTTGTGAGTTTTTTTCATGAGGTTGTCCGCGGTTGGTATTTTCGATTTTAATACCATAAATTAAACCTTATAGCCTTCGGACGACCTACAAAGGCTGCCTTTCGTAGCGGTCTTAGAATAACAGCCTAGTCATTTTACCAATTTGAGCTTGTTATACATGCATATATATATATATATACATATTTATATAGGTGAGTGCATCGAAACTTCATTATCACTACCTGTTTCTTGCATTCATCACATTCCTTCTGTCGACTTTTCTTCGTTTGGCGAGAAACCGGCCTCCATGAGGTTTGTTGTTATTTTCCAAAAATTTGACGCCGAACAAATTTATGAGAAATTTCAGTTCAAAAGTTTTTCATCATGAGCACACCCCTTGACACCAAATGCCAAAATTGCGGCCATATATAATGGACTCGGACTAGATTGAAACAAAATAATTAAACTGAGATCCCAAATGAAAACCACCGAGAGACACTGGGGCGGTTTTCTGTCCCCGCTAAAGCCATACATCATAATGAATCGTGGGCTTCCATAGGTTTTTTGAAAAATAATATACGTTTACGCTTTTGACCTCTTTAAACAGTCCGCGTTAGTGTTCATTTGTGGGTCTCCTGTACCTAAGACGCGTGGTTGAGTCGCCAAATGTAGGAGTGTCCATTTCATGTTTCCTCATAAACAACTCGCCTCTAAATGTCAAAATTACTCAACTATTCCTGAGATTAGTTAAATCTGAGGGGAAGTTTACGTTTCATGCAAATGTGATTACATTGCCAGAAAATCAGAGCGAAAACATAGTCGATTGAGCACTGTTTTGCAGGTAAGAATTTGAGCCAGCAAAAGTGCGGAATTTCTCTTTTCGTTTCCCACTCTCAAATCGGGATTTAAAAAAATCTGAAAGTGAGATTAATCAGCGCATTAATGGACGCTGAAAACAAGATAGATCTTCCAATAAATTAAACTTGTCTGTCGACAAGTAAATGTTAGGTAAAAGCATTGTACCTCGTCAACTTTGTTAATGATAGAGGTGAAAACATTTTTTCGTTTTCTGTTCCACGGAAGCACAGCGCGAAATAATAAGTGCAGTGGTTTTCACTGAACTCTAAATTATATTCTCAACTGTTTTGAGTGATCAAAAAGAAACTCAGCCCTAAGTCATCGACGATTTCGTTCGGAAATTTTGTCCAAGAGCCTTGACGCTATATGCTGACGTGTCACCAGATTATTTGGATCTAACAACAATATGCATGCATCTACTACAGATCACTTTCAGTGCATTTGACCACGGCCAAGTCGCACAGCAAAACTCGTTCTTGCATCGAAGTATGTCCGAGTTAGGGGGAATTTTCCCATTAGGATAAAAAATGGAACAAAATCTGACTGACGTTGTCCGGTATCATTTATTCCGTGCCCTTGCATTCAACTCTTGAATTCACGGTCTAGTTTGCACACATGCGAGTTTCAATGAGGGTTGGGATCAACAACTGATTTCCATTAGCATATCATACTAGCTCAGAGTTAGCAAAACTTTTAAAAACTTTGAATCTAACGCAATTCACTTGTAGATAATAGGTGAAAGCAAGTTACCGGATTAGTCAGCGTTGTTAGGGTAAGTTCGGCCTCCAAAATCTCGGTTGGGTCCGTTTAATATCTGCAGATGCAGGAAATCGCTGATGATCCCGAAGGTATTTTGCTAAAATTCTAAAAAGCAGAAGTAAAAACATGAATTGAATTTTACCACGACATAAGCTGCGCGTTCGTCTTGTATATCAAACCTGACTTTAGTTGCTGCCAACAGGAAAACCTAAGAATTTGATTTTGCTCGCAATGTCTTTAGGCTGCTACTTAACTTCACTTATTTTTTACTCAATTTATGAGAACAACCAGCAAAACAAAACGATTAACAAATTCTTCATGAAAATAATCATTTTTACGCACGGTACACAATATAGCAGCAATCACCTCGGATGGAATAACGTAAAAAGTGCGCGACTGAAGGCTTTGAAGGTTTCCAAGACATACGTTCGAGGGAACAGCACTTGGCTAAACATTGTTTTGCAGTGAGTAAAACGACATATTTTTCTGCATTCTAAGTTTGTGCGACGTCGTAAATTGCCATGCTTTTGTTAACAGCTATCGGCACGAACGATGCGGGTTTCCTTCTGTTACACCCTCTTCCCTTTTGACCACAAAACTCAGAGTTTAGCCAAAAGATACACAGTTCAGTGTGATGTGGAAAAGAACCGCAACTTGCACACCTACTGGTTCTTGATGAAGACGTTTGGCGAAATATAACGAAATTTCATATTCCTTTGCCACAATTTTGAGTATGATTATTCAGCTGGGATCCAATCATGTCTCAGGTAAGAATCAAGATAAGTTTATGCTCACAGAACTGACCCTGTTTGATGTTAAATTCAAAATTCGTCGATCCAGGTTAGTCGTGAGATGCAAATGGCATATTTATATAAATGTTGCGTGCATTTTTGTTACCACTTTTCTGTATTTTTGGATGTAGCTGTCAAACGAATTAGATGTAAATTTCTTTCTGTTTTCTCTCCGAAACCACTAAAGAGAAACTTGTTAAAATTGAATGAACTATCTAAATTTACGCTACAAGTCATCGGTACTGAGAAAGTTCAGAATTTATTTTTTGAGCGCAAGTAGTTCTGTGGATAAAGAAGAGTAAATGATTGGTGATTCTCTAGAGGTACAAATTAAGTCCGGCGCGCTGCAGTCCAGATTTATCGAATTAACCTGCGAGATTCGGTTTCATTCCCAAAGTGAATGGTTGTGTCTACTCGGGAACATCAATTAATTAGATTTTCGTGTGAAGTAGCTGGTCGGCTGCAATCATAACCTTCGAATTTAGTGTTTACGCAGATACATTTGGCCTAGCGAAGTATTTGATGACTTGTCAGTTTGAAAACTTAGTTTTGAGTGAAATGGGTTGGAGTTAAACATGCAGACCATCTTAAGGACATTAATTAGAGGGGTGGTAACTTTAACCGGTTTCATTCGTGTACAGAGAACAATGTCTTTCCGATTTTTAATACACAGCTCGAAATTATATATGGTTGTAGAGGATGTGGTACAATAAATTAATCATGCAGGGCTGAATATGTTAAAAGACAACGGTCAAAGGCAAAGGTTTGGGAGCGAAATTGTATCAAGAAAGATTCCGCAAACAGCTTAGTAATACATCTAAAACTCGGATTCATTTGGGATATTCCGTATATACCATTGATTAAATTCATCGCATGCACAGACTCACGATATCCCCAGCGGGAGAGACCCTAACATGTATGGTTTTCTACTTTGAACACTGATGCATCGTGTGTATAGAAGATCTTTCACTGCACTGAGAAAGCTAGTAGTACTCGGACGATCGTTATTCTGTTAACAAACCAGAGTCATTTACGGAGCTGTTGCAGAAACATGCGCGCAATAACCTATTTGGTCTCATGATTTATAGAAGAAGAAAAACAAAACGCTTGAACAATGCTATTCTTTCGGCCGGTCACTCTCTGCTCAGTTGCGTCAATGGTGAAAGCCAAAAATCGGCCTGTCAGAAGCAAGCCTATCGGTGGCTGCGAAATATTCCCAAAATGTCCGACGTGTGACGAAATATCAGATTTGTGATCGGGTGCAAAATGCTCGATACAATGGTGGTGGTGGACATTTGGGCGTTTGGATCAGCAGCTGCCTCATATCGTGGTAAATGAGAATAAATTAACAATAAATTAATTACTTTTTGGAGAGAAACCTGACGTTCTTTCTAGAAGACTTAATTTTTTCCCAAGATTTCCTTCTTCAAAACATACACTGATAGCGTAAATCGTTCCTTTGATGCGCAACAGCCAAACTCTGTCAAATAAATTACCCCTATGGACAAGCGCAAAACAACTACATGCTTTTTTCATGCATGCCAGTTTCAATTATTATCCTAAAATATAATAAGGCCTCCGAATTTTACTCATTTCCTGATGGTAGTAGAACTAGTGAGAGAAAGAATGCTTTCACTGCGGAGTTATTAGAAAATACCAACTGACCGGTTACAGACCGTTGGACGGGGAAGCAAAACTCATTTGCATCTTATTTACAAAGACACCCACCTTCACCTAAACGCGTCTTCTTGAACTTTCCTGGATATTCATTGACTCCAAACATTCGTTGCTGTAATCCAAGCAAATATTACAAAGCGACTCCACAAATTCCGCAACAGATCTCCCCTTTTCAAGAGAAGCAAAGCGAAATTCCAAGAACAACACATACTACCCACATACCCCCCTTAGTAGTATCACCGTTACACTAGTAATGCTCAACGCAAAAGTGTGTCAGACGGTGCAAAATCTCCAGGATAGAAATTAAGGGCGCATTTGATTCTACTCATTTAATGGTATTCTTTTGGTATACTTTTTCTCAATCACTCGGTGAGGTTTGAACTCAAAAATATCGCTTAGGTGAAGCACCGTTTCGGTGCCTAGCTGCCATGCCACCAGAAGAAAGCAAGAGTGCTGGGATGTTGTCAGGTTGCCCAAGCCTAGACAGGGAAGTCGGGAGACAGAGGTCGAGTTCGAATCACGGATCTTCCGGTCAGTAGATTCGCGCTCTAAACACCTAAGCCATCTCACCCTCTTTAAGTTTTATATTTTGGTAACTGACTGCCCCATTGTCAAGTACCTGTTTAAAGTCTTTTGTCGTCAAAATTTTACGGGCGCTTTCATGTCTGCCTCCCCTGTAATTTCCCGGAGGTTCTCGGTGGGTTTCGTGTCTTCCAGTAAATACAGATTTTGGAAGATAAGGTGATTAGACGTGCTTTTCCGTTGAAGAAATCCTCAAATGAGCCACTGGAAAGACGCAACCATCTGATTTGAATATGTGGAACAACTAAATGTAAATATGTCTAGGTCGATTGTTGCTTTGCCTGATTTTTCTGGAGCCAATGCCACCAAGACAAACAACATGGGAGGTCATTACAAAAATTGAGCTGGCCCTGAGAAGTTCACTGCCAAGCAAGGTCGGGTTAGTTTCAGGAGAAAATGTACTGTCCTACAGGAAAGCCAACCGACCAATCTAAAGAATCTCGGGCACTTAAAAATTCCAGTGAGATGAGTTTATCCAAACATAAAAAGTCGACAAAAAAGACCACCTCACTTTTCAGCCCACATCATAAACTCACTGTCACGAGCATTTCAAAAATAAAAAGCTTACTTGGAAGCAAACTTTTTGTTCGATGAAGCCTAATATAGAGCATCCAAATAAAACGTTTCTCGGTTATCTTGCTTCTAAATAAATATAAACGCCAGCGAGGCGCTTATTTCTTGCTCGATTCTTCAGCAGGTAGATAATCAATGAACACATAGATAGATAGATAGGCAAACCTACATTTAGACAGAAAAATATACTGACTGATTAATTAGTTGCTTGATTGCTTGATTGCCTGATTGATTCACTGATTCATTGATTGAGCCATAATTCTGGAATACTTCCTAGTTTTGCCAAACAACTCCACTACAGGCTGGTGAAATTCAAAGGATGGCGCCAGAGATTGCACTAAATGAAGCACTAAACTTCAAGAGGAACATAATTAACAATGATTTTCTACCAAAGGAATTTCTCCACCTTGCGCAGTCATCGCAAGTATTTCGACCAGTGAGTTTAAGGCAACTGAATGGTGCATTTCCATCATATCAAAGTCAGAGGGTCTCTATTTTAGGTTTTCAAGTTTGGCTACGAAGAAATCTGAGCATTAGCTTTCGGATCATCAAGTATTTTAAGTGCGTTTTGTAATGAATGAAAACAACAGAACAACGAACACTTTAGTACACAGAATATGAAACGAAGCCCACAAAGCTGTTAACTAGTCAGGCGATAGCAGTCAGTTCAATATCATTACCAAGATATGCCCATTATGCAGTGGGTATGCGGCCACTTATTTCGGTTGTTCAAAACCAAGAGTGATGAATGTGACAGTTCGAGGGTCATAAAGTTGTGCCGACTGCCCAAATTATGGGCCGTTTATAGTTCATCTTCAAAATTATTTATTTTCCCTTGATAGTATGCCCACGTGTGGTCAGTGTAGGAAGTACGGGTGTGATTTGTCCTTCAAAACAATTCTAAAACTTTAGATATTTTTAATTGACTGTTTTATAGTTCTGTGTGTGAAATGGACTCTGCGCCGTGTTCGATTTGTTGCGATTTCACCAGTAACTTCCAGCTAGTGACCTGAAAGTAGATACACGCTATTGGATGTGAATGGATGGATTGGCTTCCTCCTCAGAGTCGCTCCAAAGTACAATGTTTTATAGTTCTGTGTGTGAAATGGACTCCGCGCCGTGTTCGATTTGTTGCGATCTCATCAGTAACTTCCAGCTAGTGAGCGTGAAAGTAGATACACGCTATCAGAAGTGAATGGATGGATTGGCTTCCTCCTCAAAGTCGCCCCAAAGTACAAAACACCTCGCTGCATAAATTATGAGGCGCCAACTCGAGACAAGGCATGGGGTTAAATCTCAGTCTGCATTTGGGTCCACAGTATAAAACAGTGGACCTCGTAGAGCGGTTTCTCTTGTCATAATATTGATTGGCTGGTTGTTGAAAGCCGGAAAAGACTGGGACGCTACCCTGAAATCGACTGGTCACAATGCGTTTAAGTCAAAAGTAGGCCTTCCGAGAAGCTGCATAATATCTCATGGGAGAGAGGGAATTCGGACGAAATTAATTCATCTTGCAACAATATCGATTTTAGTGCCTTGTTCAAACTAGTTTTTGAACTGCATCCAAGTACATCCTTTTTGCTGTCACTCAACCAGCTGGAAGGTTTGAATTCACGGCTAGCTGTATTATTCAATCTAGGTAAGTATCAATCAATTTGTGATCTGTCGTGTTTCTGACAGCAAAAGGGAAGTGACTCTGGTGTGGATAGAAACGCAGGACAATACGGGGATCTGTATGCCAGTCGCGATGACCGAACGAATGCATGATATTTTGACGTTCAGGAAGTAGGAAACTCGAAGTTTTCGGTGGGAAATTTTTCACCGTCCCACCATCAGTTGACTTCATTTTTCACTCTTCCCTTGATATAAAACATTTACTCTGAGAATTTCTGTTGGCTGGAGAAGCAAGTTGAGGCATTCTTGTGGGAATCAACCACACATCTGTCTGTTCACAAGCGTACTAGCGTGACGCACATCCATTTCAAACGGGAGTAAGTGCGCGATCTGCTTTCAGTCGTCTAGCAAAAATGAACGGGCAGAAACACAACATCAGCCCTCCTATATCTGCCAATATGGTTCCAAGAAAATGTATTTTTGGATGTCAACCTACCGGCATGGTCACTTAACCGCATTGCACTAGGAAACCCCATGCTTGATACTGCCTGCATGATGATACGCTATCTATGTACAAATAGGCGTACAACAAATTGATTTTCCTAGTAGTATCCCAAATAGACTCACTGTTCAACTCCAAGTTGATCTAATTTCATAGAACCTATCTGTTGCCGCGTTCGATCAAGACCTCCTACATGCCTGAAATATTTCACCCGGTTATATATTTGCTCCTGACCTCGTCCACACCCTGAATTGCACTTATCATGACCGGAAAATTGGTTGACTAGCATGCCTGCCATATTTGTCAAACGTTTAATTCGGTTTCTGTCACTCGTACCAGCAGGTATTTTGAGCATACTACTGATGTTCTTATCGAAATCTAGGTCTTTCATTTTCCTACTGCAAACTTCCTGTACTCTGTAGGATTGGCAAACTATTCTAGCCGTTTAATCCGTTAGGTGTGCTATTTTAGAATTCCTGACAAGTAAACTCAAGTTATTTGACTTTGCACGTATCGACGAGAACGCGCGGAATTATAATGTGCGAACGGCAGGCGAATAAAAGTTTAGACAAATTCTGCCCCAAGGAATATAGCAGACACTATTGATTGCCCAGAAGAGGTTTACAAATTTGCAGTGGTTAGCTCAAAGAAATGTGAAAATCTACACCTTAAAAACTCAAGTTTCGTGCGCGGAATAATTAGATGGGCGAATTCACGCACTCGCTTTTCCCATTCGTTGCAGTAACTTTATACAGAAGGTTGCATGACAAGTGAAGTAGGCTGTTTTGGCTCATGAAACATTTTACATCAGTTCGCACCAAATTCAATGTGAATGGCTCTTCAACAGCGCATAGATAGCATGGTTTAGGTTGCCCTGGGAAGCAGTAATCTCACAATATTTTTCGCGACTAATTCTTCTAAGGAATTTATCCCCACATAATATAAGTAGCTCAGTGAGAGTTGCCTCTTTTACGAGGAAGAAGACAGTACGCCGACAACTCATAGATAACAACACGGCGTTTATTGTAGAAATAGGAATAGTTCACATACATGAACGGTATCCTAATTCTCGCCACACAGAATGCTTACGTATTAGGTTGATAAACTCAAACACACAATCGTGGTGCTTAATGTGTATGGACGTTGTCAGTAGGGGGTTCGTGTAACCTCGCTTTGTTGAACTTTCACTCAGATCACGACGAGTTGCTGTTTTCAGCGGCTTCCTTGCGACTAGCTTGATCATCTAACCAGATTACGAACCGCTACGTCTGACGGCCCAATTCAAAATATACTAAACTGACCATCACAAAATGGGAGATTTCCAACGATGCAGAATGTTTTCTAGACTTGAGAAATGAGTTGTAAGAAAACCGACTCCATCTATTACCGGCAGGCTGGCGAAAAGGAAAAATTCATGCATTCACTTTCTTCACTTATTCAACTTACTCATAGTATAACCGTGTGCAGGGCATGACATAGTGGGTAACTAATTCAACGTAAAGCGTATTTGTTCTCTGGAAATAGATGGGCTGAAACAGTGTGTGTGGTAGCCTTCAAGATTGGTGCCCCCAAATCTCAGAAGATACCCTCCTCACCTCCTGAAGTTTCACTTATTAGAATGGTGAAAACGCAGTCCATCATTGGTTGTTTCGATTATTACGGACGCGCTTATACAGTAGTACACAGTGAATATATCTGCGCCATAAACCAACTAGTGCTGGGTTTGATTGGTTTTAATTGATTTCTAGTAATTCGAGCAGGCATCTGATCCCAACAGATAAGTAAACACCCTTCCAGTACATGGTATGGTACATTCTAGTCCATCGTCGATTTGACGATTCCAAACCCACAAATTTGATTTCCTTATGGGGCTTTGAAGTTTGTGTACCTTCATTCATCTGTGAAGGCAGTTCGTGGATCGCATTGGTTTTTGAACTGTTCCCTGGTTTGGGTCTTGGGACTGTGAATATTTCAGGACAGATGTTTTAATGCAATTGAATGAATTCATGCCCAGAATTGCCAGAATTCTGTTACTATTATTATTATTGGGAATCATCAATCATCCGGATCTCTCAAATCTTAATGTTGCTCACCAACGTGTGATCCCCGGATTAGTTAGAGGCCACCAGAGTTTGGTTGGTAGTTTGATTAACCCATAAGTAGATGGGATATAGTGGATTAAATCTCCCCGAAGACTCTTGAGGTATGTAGTGCTGATGGTTCCCAGTGCGGATAGAACAGACTTATGGCACTTCTTGGCCACTTCTTGGCACTTCTTGCTGTGCTCATCTCAAGAAAATCTATAACGTTTTGGAACCCGTAATTCAGGTTACGTTCCAAAAAACCTCCTTTTCATGATCAGAAATAAACTCCGGTACGAGATTTTCACGTCGCCCAATATTCTTTCTGTTGATGTGACTTCTTATTCTTAAGACTTTATTTTATCAAATTATGCTTGATCTTTCACCAGCCCCTATAATTAGGGAATTTTGGCATTTGGCAGTATTGGGCAAAGGACAGTAACTAAGCTCCAGTCTAAATTTACCATCTCCCCTCTCCGGAATGGAAGTATCCATTAAAACATATTGCTGGTGCTCAGTGATGTCTGTGAGGCTAAAACGATTACAGAAGCAGCTGGCGTCTTTGAATGTTCTCCATCATAGACAAAAGAAATAAAATGTAATATGGACACCACATTCATACATTATGAAAGAAGCGTTGCACAAATCTGGAACACCGATTGACATGTCTCAGTGGACATATCTGGATAACGTTGTTCACTCTAAGAGACAAATTTTGTTAGTGGGATATTCTAGTTGAACCATTATGGTCGACAATTTGACCATCGAATCTTGACGTAATCCCGCCTGATTTTCCTGAAGAAGTAATTAAAATTTCGCTGAATAGTGACTCGCCGCTGCAGATACACATTACGTGACTCAATTTGAATACTTATTTCAGAAAGTAGGTTACTCTAACGGTTTAAACTTTGCTACGTTTGTCTTCAAGAACAGTACTGGCAAAACAAGCAGTACTTCCACTCTTACAACCAGAAACGTCCGACGAAAAACATCAATCAGTGTGATTTAGTACTTCGAGCAGTTCACAACCGGACTAGTGTAGTCTTCGATTCGAGTTACCTGGATATAAGTGCGTGTGCTCCAGTTGTGAAGATCCGCGTTAATCACAAGAAATGGAAGTTTAATCGCATGAAGCGTGGCTTTTAAGTGTGGCACAGGGATAGTCAAAAGGGCAACGAAATGCCAACTCTGGCTGTGTGTTGGGTTATTCTTGCGGGAGTTAATCAGGGCCAAAGTGTTCACTCTGTTCACCCTGAGCGGAATTCGGATGAACATTGACTCGGATGTACCTTTGATACCAAGTGTTTGACTGTGCCGCAAATTGCTCAGTAGATAAAGAAGCCAAGAGAAGTCTAACCAATACACATACTGCAACTGGATGTGGCACGTCTGAGAATATTGGGTAACGTGTACAGCGGGCAAAACCAGCAGCAATCGCGTTGGTATTGATTGTTCTCATATTTAGAACGTTTCATTCGTTGGCATGATTAGCGCAAGACAATCCATAATCTCGCTTAAATGTGACAACCTAAATTTCCACTGTGTGCAATTCCCTTAGTAGCGATTTGTGAAAAAAACTGCTAAATAACGCCCTACTCTTTCCTGATATTGCTACGTGGTTGAACTTCGAGTTAGTTTTTACACAACATGCTTTAACAAACAGTATTACGTCAAGCTTTTCACGACAACACCCCTAGGTAAGTTCGCAACAATGATATTTGTGTCAAGTAACTTCACAAATAAAGCCCAAACTGTTTTACATGGGCTTCTCATAATACAAATTCTTCAACAGTTGAGATACCCAAATTAGGGCGTTCAGTTTTCGCTTTAGCTGAACGTCGTGACGTCTGTGCGTTCCAGACAAACAAGTTGCTTCTAGAATCTACAAGGATATGACGCGCCTCTTGGATAGACAGAAAAAAACAAAAAAGACCGGACCCTTTCCCAGAAAGTGTTTCGTTTTGCTTAGAGGTGAATATTTCGGAAAGTACTGCACAGATTTTACATAGATTTCGAATGCTTTTTGTGGAGATAAGACGCCCCAATTATTGAACATTCCCATTTATCTGTTACCGAGGCTTTACACCCTGACCCTTTCGCCTTTGTCATCTACGTCAGCCTCCCTCACATAAATTCAGTTGGTAATGCTGACGTGCCCAAAACCGGTGTTAACTACTTACTGCTAGAGCAAAACTTTAGCCATCAACTTCCACTTCAGTCAAAAAGTCCCCGTCTATAAGTTGATATGATGGTGGTGTCCACTGGCTCATACAACGCATATTTAGAATGACCAGTTTGAAGGAAATTGTCAGCTAAATGAAGCTAGCTCAGAGGTGATTAATTAGAATGCAGTGTACACACTGTACATGGACGTCTCAACTCTTCTATCAGACAAACGTGTCTACTTGTATGCACTTAGTGTCTCAAATGTTGAATACCCCGTCCTATAGTTTATCAGGATATTTTGTTTTACCCAGCAGAATCTTCCATCTAAGTCATTTAGAATAGAAGAATGGCAACAACTTCACGCACGTAAATCAAGCTGATAATGCTGACGCAAAAAACGTCGCTCTGCTGAGCCTCCCTTTTGGTCTTTTTCTACCTTTTCACCAGAAGGAAGCACGATGGCTTGGATACTGTTAGTTTGCCCAAGCCGAGACAGAAGAAGTCGAGAGGCAGAGTTCGGGTTCGAACCACGGACCTTCTGGTTGGTAGCTTCGCGCTCTAACCACTGAGCCATCTTGCCATATAATGCTGGCACGCTTGGCTAAATTTTCTGAGTTCACATTGCTGATTGAAACTCCTAAACAAGATACATCCATTCTAGTCGTAAGCGGACTGTTTCTATGACGAATTAGTACAAAAGTAGTGCCCATCCCATCTCCCAAGATGAAATTCATACACAGTGTTGTGCAGATCACACACTGGTCTCTCATTTTGACGAACAAGGATCGACCGAATAAAACCCACGAAGTAGGATTAAATGCTTCCTCGGCAATGCGAGTAGATACTTAGTGCGGCAGCTCAGTGTCACCGGTGATTTGAACGACATTTGTAGCCGTCACTGGTGTCTTGGTATGTTGTTCGAAGACAGACACCACATACCGCCATGAGGTGAATCTTTTCTGGCCGTTGCTAATCCAGAGAATAACTTCCTGTCCTTATCCGTCATCAAACAGCTCATAAAAGGAGTGGTTATGGTCTTGTTTGTATAATTTTGGGCTGTTAATTGCTGATGCTTCTTATGAGTTCAATGAATGTCTGGTTAATTCCCGCTAGGCTCGATAGCAAGTATAGTACACCCTTCGGTGGGCTTAAGCTTTTCATTGTTTTCATTTGTCTCCAGTTTATCTGAAGCCAGAAAAAAAACATGCCTTTTCCCACTTTTAGCATCGTTTTTTACTCACCCGCAGGACAAAATCCAAAGAAATCATTCACACTCATTTGCAGACGAAATTATTCACCCCAACACAACACCGGAATATGTCGCCTTGCCCAATGGTATCCACTAAGCTGAGACAGTCGATTTGGTGTGCGCAGAATTCAGCATATCAAAGCATATGCATGGCCCGGAACTAAACTTGTCCTGTCCCCTAAACCTTCCAATTTTTATCAGTGTTTTTCATCAATGTTACTATGTACTGAGAGCACAGATGATTGATGAACATACGAGAAATGCTATCATTTTGTCAATCATGCTTCTCTTCGGTTCTGCTGGATTAGAAAGGTAGGAAGCCAGTCAACCATGTGAAGTATTGTTACACTCAGAGCAATAAACAACCCTATGTGAGCAGATTTTTCTGTTTACAGCAATTTCCCATGGATACGTCACAATAATCATAGGGCTGTTTTTTCCGAGGTGAAGCAATGAAGTGGACTGAATGAATCGCAGTACCGTAAACCGATAATCAAGAAATGGTAACAGATGATAGCCTCTTCCAACTGATTTCCAGAGTAGACATTTTTATGCACCATTTGATATGAATTTACCATGAAACATCCTGTAGATTCTGGATAAAATATTGTTTTTAAAAATTCAAGTTAAACATGTCAATAATAGGCTCACTGAGCGCCCTAAGCCAAACGAACAGTACATGCATTTTTGAGGATATAGAGAATTTTTGTCTAGTTAAGTCTGAATTGCTTCAGATATCAATTGAATGTGACGCATAGGAACCATGAATGCCTGAAAATGAGGTCGTTGTGGATGGAGATGGAAGCGTTTGCTTACCCAGCTCGACTGGTTAGCGTCTCTCTCTCAGGACTTTTTCCAAGAATACAGTAAGTAGAATGCCATAGATCAACTGTTGAATCCGAGCTCTTCAATTTTGACAAAATGCTGAGAAAGTCGTTTCAACAGGTCAACACGGGGAAAATCAGGATAAAAATAACTGGCTTTCGAAGCCATCTGGAGTGACAAATCTTCTATAAAAAGGATAACATTTCAAATCGCAGCTAAATGAGAAGAGCATCCCATGGGATAAATTCTTCTCAGGAATTATAAACAACGGCTGTAATTTACATTTGACTGGACCGCAGTAGGTCATCACCAAAATCCTGCGGTGGAGTTTGCATATATGTCCTCCTTGTTTAAAACATTTAAACAGAGAATTATTAAGCGAAGGTCATACACTGTTTGATTCAGTCTGAAAACACTGCCTATGCCGACATAAGTATGGGAATCTGAGACAAGAGCGTTTTACAGTGCATTTATATTGAATTGCACATGTGTAAAGTAAAGTGAAGTAGAAAGCTACTAATTTGATTACTTGTATTCTGATATAATTATATAATAAACACTAGGCCCAGTTTTAATCGTCCTGTAACTCAGCTGCACTCTATGAGTGCCACAACCAAGCCGATGTAATTCTTCTCTGTTCGGGGAATCTGGATAGGACGAAATACGTTTGCCAATGTAATACGCTATGCCGTTCTAACCGATATCCAACTACGCCTTGGGATTTAGGTTCTAGTGTTAAGGTACACCATCTCTCATAGACAGAATACCGGGTGGTCCCTGTTCACTAAAAAGCCACGGTCGCAATACCAAACAAAATTTTCAAGATTATTGGGTCCAAAATGGAAGGTTCTGATGGGGATGGGCTGTTGATCGATTTTCACCAACTTTGTGAGTAGTACAATACAAAGATATATGAAAGATATATATGAAACAAATACGAAAATCGAACAAAATATTCATTAAAAACTGACCTGCAGTTTTGCCTTGCACCATGCAATCTTCTAACATATTCGAAGAAGTTGAAATTCAATGGAGGTTCACGACAACACTCGATAAATTGAACTGCTTCCAGAAGTAAGCATTCCTGTAAGCTTTCCTGGACTAGGATTTCAGCTTAGTGATCCGCTGGTTCAGTCCCTTTTGCCATTTTGTTTATACTCCCATCTGCTCAAAAAAACAGGACAGATTTCTGTAAAACTATTTTCCCATGAGCTTTCCTCCACTTTTGGTGCTTTTTGCGAGTTGTGGCAACTTTCATAAGGAAACCAAGAACTCCGTTATAGTTACTTAATCCCGAATGGTCTCACTGTCCTGACCATCGTATTTGTTGCTGTTACGATACCTTTTTAAAAGTCACATTCCATGTTCAGCAACCATGACGTTTCAGAGGGTACTGGTAATGCAGTCAAACAGAACGACCCCCCAGCAATGTGTGCCTCATGGCCTGTCAAGAACTGAAATTTGCTCATATACTTCAAAATTCTACAAAAGAACCTTTTATCCTACGGCGCCGTCAAAATTCTGTGTGACCAACAACCTCAAGTTAAATCGACAATCCAAACGCACTCAGGAACATAAAAACTCCTTTGCACGCCATCGTCACAATGCCTAGTTCTACTAAAGTTTCTCCTTTAGCCCTCCCGTCAATATGTAACGCAAGGTGCAGAAATCAACATATTTATCGTAAATACAATTCTCTTGTCCCACCATTCTGTAAAATCGAGATGATTTTCTAAGACCTTAACGTAAAAATCGCTATCTACCACTACAAATCCACAACCCATCGATTAATTCTTTTCTCAAATGAAGGGCAACTTATTTTGCCTCCGAGGTGGCCTTTCCAACCATTTTATCAATTCCAGTTTGCTGATTTGTTGACCCAACTACTTTTTATGCTCGAATAAATTTGCAACAGTGCGTGCCGATCAATTCTAATGAGTATATAGTTGGATTAGTTCATCCATCATCATGGTATTGTTTTATTGTATACTAGCTGAGTGACATCAGGTTCACCGGGCACTCACTCATTATCAGTTAAACCTCATGAGAACTGACGGAACTGGCTGGCAGAGCAGGCCACAGTCAGGTCTGTAATCACCCATATTCATCGTTTTGTTTTCAAATGTAAGCCTAGATACTGGACTCCACTTCCAGGCTCTGAGTCTGAAATCTATGAAAAGGAGCGGGACATCTAGGTTATTGTGTAGTTGTATTGAAAACCGGTGTGAGTGGAAAAACTGGGTCAATGGGATACAACGGCATAAAAAATGGAAAGTTATTGACCCGCAACGGAATGGCAATAGTGAGGATGTCGTACACAATGGGCAGAAATTTTAAATTTTATTGCTTTTTCCGATGAAATTATGTGCATGGCAGTCAACAAAAGCAAAACGTTCAGAGTTTATCTGAAAAACAATCTACAGGGAAGCTGTTTCATCTGCTTGTAGCAAGGTATTCGAGAGGCCAATAATCGCACTTTCATCACGTTCCTGCGTTGAGTATTGCTTATCCAACGGCAACACTTTCTGAAGCATTTATTTCCACCTTATTCAGTGAAATTCGACGCATTGTGTCATAACTGCGTATTTGTTGAGAGCGATGCATAGATTAGGTTTAAATGCCACGTTCGTAAACCATGATACTATTTTAGAATGCAAGCTAGGCGCTTGAATTTGCAAACCGCGTGTTTTCCAGTTCATTTGTCTGGGTCCCTTGAGGATAAAATTTGCAAGGGAATTTTTTTTTGTCTTTTGTCCGAAAATGATGTCTCAGATTTAGCGTACCTTTGTGTTTTGATTTCATCTGCTATCCCACATACATCCCGAAACTTATGAAAATCCGCGTTCTACCTAATGCCGAAATTTCTCAAAATATTCGCACTCGACGCCAAAACTCTTCTCTATCGTTCTTGTGGATATTACGCACGACAATAAAGCATCCTCATTTAATAAAACGGTGGTCCAAATATCATACGGAACCCTCGTATTATTCTGCATTTTTGAGATGGCAGGAGAAACCTATGGTGTCGATGCACTTCGTTTGCATCATTAGTGGAGTTCGCAAAAAAATTCATTCTTGGATTTATACTGTCAGCTCCAACCAACTTAGTGCACTGATAGAAATGCATCTTACTGAAGTAAGTCTTTACGCAAAAGTGGAAAATTAGCTAGGTCCTTAGGGAAAAGCGTACCGTGGTCATGGCAACCGTGCCGACGAAATACGTTTTTTGCGGCTTGGAACGCCCGTCGGTTCCCAGTAGAGATCGCATTACCCCAAGTATTGTGGGTTTCTGCACTCACTTGTCAAACGCACAGCGATGGTTTGCAGAAACTACCACTAGTGCACACATTACTGTTGTAGGCAATAAGTGGTTTTGATGTCGACGTGAGACATACACAAAGTATATGAATCATTTTCACAGCACAACTTTGAAGAGCGTGAATGGGAAATATCCCAGAATCCTGAGAAAACTAATGGTAGTAAAG